AAAAACAGAAAAGAAATAACTTAGTGTGTACATTTAACGAAAATACGGGTTATAAGGTCGTATTTTATATATTCTTAAACGCTTTCCAAACTTAATGTTTGTATTAGGTACAAAATTATTATATAGATCTTGAATTGGGAATCTACTTTATCGTTTTATTTTAGAGATAATTATTCAATGTACAAACCAATATTGTACTTGACTCTCATAAAAGCCCTTAGTCAAAATTTTATCACTGGGGGGGGGGGGTGATAACTAAGAACAGTCCTGTTGCTATAGGGACAATCATAATGTTGATTCTCCTTCACTTTAATTCTCCATACTGGATTACATAAAAATGATTTTGTATTTTTGGTACGTTGGAAGTTTTCTTATTTCGGTTTGAAATTATTCACAACTTTTAAGTTACTTATAAACTCCACACAAGACCTCGGGTTATGGATTATTTAGAATTGTGTATAACTCCATTTCGACGTATTTAACACAACAATGTTTTGATGCAGATAATTTACAACATTTATATTAGCCGAATAAAACTAACGATGTTCATTTATGTTCACTACTACTGACTCGTTGGTGTTAAATACACAATACTGTAGTATCAAATATTCACTAAAAATGGAGCATTTGGCAATGCCTGGAGAACTGGTGTTATGATAGTACAACATCACCTATTGTTTCTTTATTAATGTTAATGAGCACTAATAATAGTATTTTAGTGTATTTTAACATTATACAATCATAAATGACTTCTTCGTTGACGTTAGGTGAACAATAATAATAATTTGTAGGTCATTATAAGATATATATATTTATTGATAATCTATTTGCCCATGTTAAGTTTTTATTATCTATGGCTTCACCGCGAGGGACAGCGGTAAGTCTATGGACTTACAAAGCTGAAATTCTGGGCCCTATTCCACGTAGTGGACACAGCAGACAGCCAAATGTGGATTTGCTCTAAAACAAGGTATTATTAGTGGCTTTTTGATTTCTTGAAATGTGCTTCATCAAATTAGTTTTTTACGCACGCACACACACACACACATTAATGGAAATAGTTGAAGAAGCATACAAGTTATAAACATATAAAAGTCACAAACAAGGATTATTTGCAAGTGGTTTGTACATTTACTACGGTAAAAAAAAACAAAAAAAACATTTTCACAGAAAGTACAAATGGAGAAACAATATGGTTTACAATGCACTAGTATTTTGTAAGTAAAGCCCTTTGCATGATACAGAGCATTAAATTTTGTTTTCATGCTGCTATACACTTTATCAATGTATGATTGTGTAATATTGTTCCAAATGTCCCGCAATTCGGCCAATTTATTTGGCTGCTCTTTGACCTCCTCATGTTTTACATAATATTACCAGTTTGAAGAATGTTCGCAGCGGTTGTAAGTATTCCATCGGCCTTTTACTGTCAAAATATCGTTTTGCCTCATTTGTTGTATGTTTGTGATCATTGTCTTCTTTGAAGATGAATCCCCTTGCGAGCAGTCAGGTGTAGATCGCCCACACCTTTGCAGCTCCATTGGTTCCCACCACATTTCAATCTAGATGTTTTACATTAAATGTGATACCGTTCTCCTTTCTACTGTTGGAAAAAAAACAACTTTTATTGATTCTTGCAGAACAATTCAGACCTGTATTCATCTGGAGAGAGCACAGGTCTCCAGCTTTTCTTTCCACTGTTTGTTATCTGGTGCCCACTTCAACGTTTTGGTGTGGTTACCTCTTCTCCGCAGCGGGTTTTGAGCAGCGACATATCCATTGAGACCACTTCGTGTTAATGTATATCCTGCTCTATTTACAACAAGGCCGTTGGCAAGGTCTCTGCTCGACAGTCGTCTATCTCGTAACGAACACACCCTGAGAGGCTATACATCACTTTCAGGAAGTTTTCGTTTTTTATGTCGACCACTTCTATTATCAACATTTTTAGCTTGGATACAGTTTCCACTGAAACGTGGAGTATTGCCGCAAAGTTTGCGTGGAGTATCATTTATCCCGCCAAAACTTTGGTTTCTGCACATTTGTGATACAGTGTTTCAGTCCTGAGAGCCATGACTGGAACACACTGTCACTACTGGGCATAGTATGACTTCCTATTATACTTGGATGGCAACCAATTACAGCGTAAACTATCAAAACGCGGCTGCACTCGAGTGCAGTTCATTCGGACACACAAAAAAATGGTAGTATTTGTCTTTTATGCCGTTTTTCCTCATCGTTTCTACAACTACTCACAGTATTGTATATATATATATATCTACACTTGTGTGCATATGTCGGTTCATTTGTGTGTAAACTTTAAGTGTATGTTGACAATGGTTTGAGTCAAAATGAGCAATTGCCACGAAATATATATATTCTGTCTATCATCAAACATATTTCATTAATATGCTCAATCTTTTCCGAAAAATACTCAGATCCATTAGATATATCAAATCACTGCTTATATTCATATTGGAAAAATGTAATTAGTATAATTTTGTTTTCTTTGAACCTCCGTATTTTTCATGCATTCTTTATGATAGCAAATTTTAAATATTGCCGTGTTTCATGTACACAAAAGAGATTTGTAATTAATTGAAGAGATTAAGAAACTCTTATTAATAAAGCGATTTTAGTGAACATAGTTAATTTGATTAATTGATGTTAGTGGAAGAGAAATTCTATATAGGGCAAGGATTACTTTTTATTTTGCTCAGATATCTGTTTCCAGAGAGTTATACAAAAGTCACGTTTTGTAAGAAAGAAAAGCTAAAACTAAGCTCTAAACTTTATAGACTAAAATCTTACGTTCATTCTATATTTCATTTAACTCATTAGCGATAATTTAGCACAATAATTTAAAACATTAAATTTGCCGCTAAACGACCTGTAATTACCATAACTAGATAAATGAAGCGTTAAGTTTTATCTTTACACCTAAATTCACCTATTACATTTTAAATCATTTTGTAGATTGCTGATTAAAAATTTCAAAGTTTAAAAATAATAATATTTTGATCTTTTTCTGACATAAAACATTTACATAATTACAATGTAGTCAATGTACTTTCTTACCTTCTATTTGGCCTCCAGTGGCACAGCGGTATCTGCGGACTTACATCGCTAGAATCCGGGTTTCGATACCCGTGGTGGGCAGAGCACAGATAGCCCATGGTGTAGCTTTGTGCTTGATTACAAACAAACAAACCTTCTATTTGATGATGTTTTTAGCGCAAAGCTACACAGTGAGCTATTTGCGCTATGTCCACCGTGGAAACTCGAGTCCCGGATCTTAACGTTCAAAGTCCGTAAACTCACCACTGATTCACCAGGGGGCGTCACTTTATAGGCTACAAATACAAATTTAATTACCTATTCTTATTCATTTATCTTTAGAGTTGATTTTCTAATCATCGGTTCTCATGAATCAGCGATCTCTCCCTTGAGTTGCTTTTTAACACTGTATCATGGGAGGTAAGCTCAAGTTTGACTCTTGTTATTAGCTGCTTCTACAAATAAAACAGAAAAATGGTAAAATTATAAAGTTTTGTTTGTGTGTTTCCTATCTGCAAATGATATTTCTAAAGTTTCGAAATATAGTCGTTATTTTCTCTTTTTTCGTATCTCCGTTTTGACTTTTAACACCAAGAGATAGGTACTTCCTGACACGCACCACTTCATTGGCGTGTAGTTATATAAATATAAACCTGTTATCAAAGTCTCTCGCAAAGATTCTATAGACTTTGGACGAAGATTTAGCACCGATAATACGATTCAAACTACGGGGTTACAGTGCAGGCCGGTGACTTTTGTTATTATGGTTTTCACGTGAAGTATGAAAAGCGGTAATAGCTAGGGAGCGACAAAAACAAAAGCAATGTTTTCTGTGTGGCAAGGGAAATCGAATGAACTGATGTCTTGATTATCAAAGTCAGCCGGTAGAAAGGCTTACACAACGCTCGAGTTTTTATTTTATTTGGTGATGGTGAGTCACTTATACTTATAGTGACATGTATGGAGCTCAGTATGCTCAAAACCTTTCTTATACCGAGAATTTTAAGGTAATAATCATGTGCATGCTTAGACTCTTAACCAAAGTGACTACATAAACGAATCTTATATTAATTTTGACTGAAAGAGATTAAACGTAAGATAAAAACTGAGTTTATTACAAAATGAGTGACATGTTTGTATTATAATGATTTTGAAAAGGTTGCAAGTTGATAACAATGAGCTGGTAGATGGATAAACAGAAGATGAAGAGACAGTACCACAATAGATAGACAGACAAGCATACAGGTTTAATAGAAAGATAGAGGAATAACTAAGCAGACAATCAGACATATTTAATAAACAGACAAACAAGTAGGTGGACATAAAGACAGACAGATAAATAGATAATCAATAATGAATATTTTTTATTCCTTAAGATTGTGTTATATTTAAAAATACAACCTCTCCCTGCAAGGTAAAGAATGCTGAAAAGGTCATTTATTCTAAATGGTCGCCCGGAAAGGACCACATTTTACTTACATATAGAAGATTGAAAACAGGTTCACATGAATTAATTTATGAAATAAGATTCATATCATTTTAACATATCTGATACGATTTGAATCGTTTAGATATTAAAAACATTCTGTAAAACGTCTTAAGAACACAGAAATAACTTTGTATTTAGAAACCAAAATGTTGATTTTCATAACTTTTTATCTAATTGCTTTATTTTCTATCATTTATTAATAATCTGTAGATTTGTCGAATGCTATTTTTTTTTCTATTCTACCCTCGTAAAAGAAAAGCTCCCTTTCACATAACACGTTTCTAATTCTGCATTATCAGTTTTTTTTAAAACTCATGATACAGCCTACAGATGGCGCAGGCAAAACCAGAGTTAAGGCAGTCTCAACCAATAAGGGAGGACACCGGATACCTGACTGACTATTAGACGATTTGCTGCCAAGTGTGTCAGAAAGATCGCTCCCTGCATCCAAGAAGAACATACTGTTGTTCCACATGTGAGAAGCATAGTGTTGATAATTTACCATGATAAATCAGGCATTCTGACTCATACGTGTATGATTATTCTGTAGACTTTATTTCTTTTCGAAACAGTATGATAAATCTGTAGCCCTTAAACCTTATTTCTCTCTGGAACAACATGATAAATCTTCTAATCAGAAGTCTGTTTCAGTTTTAGCCATAATTTTCCCATTAACTGAAGGAGCGTAAGAGAGTACTTGTAACAAACAAGTGTTGGTTTAGGCACTTGTTTTATAACCGATATTTTAATTTAATGACCTGAAATTAATTTACTATAGCCATAAAAAAAATATCTCAAGGCGATAATACTATACTTTTAAAACTTTAAAATTCTCGTTTCCAGGCGCATCAACTTTGTCCTGAGGTTTTTTACTTCTATCTTTTCAATAACTGATGTTAAAATGACAAATTTACAATGAACTGGATGATCCTACCGGAAAAGAATAGAACTACGAGTTGAGATTGTCTCAGTATCATTTTCTCTGGATGGAAGATACGATAACATATTCTTTACAAAAGAATTGTATTAAAGTCACCATACCGGTAAGTTCACATGTATATATTTATATTAACACACATGTGTTTTACAATAGAATTTCTTTATGTTTTCTATTTGTAGTTTAAATGAATAGTATTATTAGAAAATGTTGTGAGTAGCACATTTAAGTGTCTGTAGAAGTATAACGTTCAAATCGAAATATGTAATGAATATTGTACTTAATATCAACTAGATACTGTTTTTTGTATTTTGCCGAAATGTGTTTTGAGAACTATCAAATGCTACTAACAAATTTCCTACTGTTTGCTGATTGATATCTCGATTCAGATTTAAGAACGACATCTGATCAAATGCATTTTTCTCTAATAACTGTAGCTTAAAATCTCACTTTTCATTACGTTCAAAAAGAGAATGATAAAAACCGATTTATTTTATGTTAAGTCTTTAGAGAGAAACTTTAGCACAAACTGGCAATGGAATGTGAAGCGTTACTGTTGAATACAAACATAATAAAGCCTTTGAATTCTACATATATAAACATATGAACAAATTCAAAGTATTCAAGAGACAGCAGTGATTGACAACTACGAAACTACAGCATAAGTGTGTCTATGTGAAAAGTTTTTTATGTTTATTGTTTAGCACAAAGCTCTGTCAACCGCGGGTATCGAAACCCGAGTTTTAGTGTTAGAAGGTTCCATACTTACCGCTGGGACACCGAGGAGTACTGTAAAAAGAACCATAATTGATTATTCAGGTGTACTTACCCATTATAGATAAATAAATACACATACATATATATGTATATATCAGCTTCGGAAACCAATGTTTTTATCATGTAATAAATTGTAAGAACTTCATGTAATGTGTAATAGCGTAAAATAAACGGCGTTAGGTTAAGAGTTGCATGCAAGACTGCAAGAAATTACACTGCTATAAAAAAACACACAACAATGCATACGATAGAATAATTGTAAATAATGTATTATATTTTAGTTACTATCTGTTATTACTTCTATCCTATCTCTCTGTCTACCTGCTTGTTACCCCAATAATTCTGTTTATATTTGGATATTCACGTAAAGTTGCCCAAGGGCTCTTTACGCTATCCGTCTCTCATTTTTAACTGATATACAAGAAAGGGAAGGCATCCACAGCCAAATTCTTGGGGTTGCTCTTCCCTGATGAAATAATAGTATTATATTCAGTCTCCAATGTAATGCGTATACTGCTCCAGAGTTTGGAGTGTAATTTTATACGGGACATGAAGTAGAAACCCGCATCTCCTCAGTACGACACGCTTGCCGCTGGACGAAACACGCTCGCTCCCTTCCTCCGGTTTCTCAGTGGTAAATTTGTAAGATTATAACTCAAGAATTCGAGGTTTTAACCCCCTCAACAGCCACAGCTTATTATGTATCTACCCACCTATATGTAAACTATCAGAATCATCATGGTTTTCGATGAATTTGCGTTCATGTTACATCTGACGTGGAACAATCACGGTTGCAAGACGATTAATTTTCAGAAATATCAGAACTATATGTACAAGTTTATTTGTATTATATCCTCACGCTATAATAACCTCACATAGTTAATAGCATTCCATATCACTGCATCAAAAGTTCTGGAAGAATAAGGTCACGCACCTTAGATTTAAGCGTATAGAAACAAAATATGAAATATTTATTACGAGAATTTACAAACATATGCAAGTAAATGTTTATATTTCAGCAAGGAACATGTACAAGCGTGAATGTAAGGAGAATATTATACTAACAGGTTGATAGACGACAACGGCTTACATGTTGTTAAAGGCATATTTTACTAAACAGTTGATAGATAACTAACGTTTCTTTAAGTAAATATTGAAACACCAGATTTATGTTTTAGATTTGCTTTTAATGTTGTTTGATTTATCTATCTATTTTATATGTATTGATATCAAAATAACGATAAACATACATGCGCATGGTTTCACAAACAGACGAATTTTCCACAGGACGTGTTAACCCTTAATGTGAGTTTAATTTATTGTTTTTAGCTTGAAACGTCAGTAGATAGAGTATGCATACATTTCAAAGCTAGATCTGGATTTTTGTTGTTGTTTCTGTCGTTTGTACTTTAATATGACAGTCATGATTAAATTATACAAAGAACGAAACGTTGTTAAACGCTAAGGAAACAAATGAAAAATGTTCAAATTAACATACATATCTCAAAGGAATATTTGCATACGTGGATATTTCGTGACTTATGTGTGAAAAATGAATTACATCTGTCATATGAAGGAAAAGTGTAGAGAATATGAGGTTCAAAATTAAGAGGAGCCAAAATTGACGGTATAAGTCAGGATTGTGAGTATCAGAAGTTAAGCAAATTTCTGGGTAGAAGGAACTAAGTTTGTTGATATGAGATATTAAGATTGTTTGTACAAGGAGCTACGTTTGATGATATGAGATATTAAGATTGTTTGTTCAAGAAGCTGAGTTTGTTGATATGAGATATTAAGATTGTTTGTACAAGGAGCTAAGTTTGTTGATATGAGATATTAAGATTGTTTGTACAAGGAGCTACGTTTGATGATATGAGATGTTAAGTTTGTTTGTACAAGGAGCTACGTTTGATGATACGAGATATTAAGATTGTTTGTTCAAGGAGCTAAGTTTGTTGATATGAGATATTAAGATTGTTTGTTCAAGGAAATAAATTTGATGATATGAGATATTAAGATTGTTTGTACAAGGAGCAACGTCTGATGATATGATATATTAAGATTGTTTGTACAAGGAGCTAAGTTTGTTGATATGAGATATTAAGATTGTTTGTACAAGGAGCTACGTTTGATGATATGAGATATTAAAATTGTTTGTATAAGGAGCTACATTTGTTGATATGAGATATTAAAATTGTTTGTACAAGGAGCTACATTTGTTGATATGAGATATTAAGATTGTTTGTTCAAGGAGATAAGTTTGATGATATGAGATATTAAAATTGTTTGTTCAAGGAGATAAGTTTGATGATATGAGATATTAAGACTGTTTGTTCAAGGATTGTGGGCACAAGAAGTGCAATTTAACGATATGAGAAATAAAGAATTAATATTTTCACTATTAAAACTTGAGCGTGCATAATTTCACAGTTTTACTAAAATGTAATTTCATTTTTCGAAGCATCTGTCTCATTTATTTCATTATTATTTTGAAGTCTGTTAAAACTGAGCTACTGAAAATCTTAAAAATCGAACTTCAGTCGAAAGATATACAATACCGCTGTTTCAGAAAAATTATACGCTAAATATCTTTTTCTGAGCGTATCCAGTAAACAGTGTGAATAAGAAATATTATCGTTTGCTCATTTTAAGCACTAAATATTTAATCATTGTTATCATATGACTATTACAATTACAAATTTCGATCGGTAAGCTAATTAGCTTAGTTTCTACAATGTTTTAGTTGGTATTCGCACAAAGGGCCTTGTTGACACGAGAAAGCAGGGAGTAAATAATAAAGTTTCAAAACGTTCATTATACGTTTGGATTGCAGGAGGGTAGATTAACCTTTTATTAACTGTTAGCTGCTAAAATCAAGGATGAAAATAAATAACGAATTATAAGTCAGATAAATGCATAAGTGAGTATTTTCTCTGAATTCTACATTATATTTCAAGGTTTTCCAAATATCTTAGTTTTTGATAATGTTTGCGAAAAACAGTTTGTCTGTTAAATATACACAAGTTGTATGGATATATCGATGTATATTCTATATTAAGTTGCATACAAGGCATATAAGTGGTCATTAACCCTGAAAAAGTAGAATATCTGAATGTTATGATTTGTTTCAAAAAATTAATAATTTTCAAAGTCATTTGATCAAGAAGCCTTACTTCAAAGTAATTTGACCAAGGAGCATTACCTGGTATTGCCTGGTTTATTTGATTGCTGAACTTGATTAAAAATAAAACCCATTCGAAACAAGGGTCCTCCAACTCAGGCACTCAAAACTAATTTCATACAGAGTTGTATATTGAGACTGTCGAACTTGATTTAAAGATCATTCAAAACTAAAGCTTCCAGCTCATGCATTAAAAAAGAATTTCATGCAATTGTATCTAGAGACTTTCGGACTTGATTAAAAAGCATTTAGAAAAATTGCTTCCTACTCAGACGCTTCCAACGTATTTCATGAGACTGTCGAACTTGATTTGAAAATCATTTTAAACAAGAGCCTCCAACTCAGACACTCCCAGTGGATTTCGTGTAAAGTTGCATCTTGAGAGTGTCGAACTTGATTTAAAAATCATTTTAAACAAGAGCCTCCGACTCAGACTCTCCCAAAGGATTTCGTACAAAGTTGTATCTTGATAGTGTCGAACTTGATTTAAAAATCATTTTAAACAAGAGCCTCCTACTCAGACTCTCCCAGTGGATTTCGTGCAAAATTGTATCTTGATACTGTTGAACTTGATTTGAAAATCGTTCAAAACAAGAGCATCCAAATCAAACGCTCAAAACGAATTTCATCTAGAATTATTTCTAGAGGCTATCGACAGACAGATGCGGTTGAACACCCCATAGCTTCGTAACTAGGAAAGTGATATAGATGATTACAGATCTTGGTTCCTGATGTTCAATATAATCAAGAGATTCATGTGTAAAGAATAAGAATGCATCTAGTAGTTGTAAGTCATACAACTAGTAGTCTATGTAGTTTTGTTAGAAATACAACTTAAACAGATACCCTACAAGCGTTTTTATGTGTGTGTTCTAAAAGTATGATTTACCAGTTCATTGTATCAGTTTCACGTAAAGCAAGGTTTATTTTCACTTGACTCATCCTAGTCGCTTTGTGACACACTTGTACACATTGGAAACACAGAAGTTTTGTGGAAGAATAACTTTAAAATATTTCAGCAGGTGTTAGTTTGTAATTAAGCACAAAGCTACACAATGGGCTATCTGTGCTCTGCTCACCACGGGTGTCGAAACCCGGATTCTAGCGTTGTAAGTCCGCAGACATACCGCTGTGTCACTGGGGGGCAC